GCATGCTTTTCAAAGAATTATATCCGTAAATCACTGCTGAGAGACTTCTAGTATAGGCCAAGAAAATCCTGATGACAATACCCTGTTCGGCTTTTGTCTCCATTTAATTGTCTGATAGGAAAGTAGTCATGTATGAAAGATAATCCTATTCCATATATAGATAGAAAGATCTCATTATATCTGGATAGCTGGATGAAAGCGGCTTCCACATTATTGAGATGATTGATTAAATACGCTACTAGTTTCATCTTGGAACAGTTTTTTCCCCCCTGTCTGCTATTTTTTTTCCCTGGCTAATATCACAGTACCGCTTTGTGAAAACGAGGAAAGAAATCACATGCACAAAAAAGGCAAAACAGTTTGTATGATATCTATAGTATCACTGTGCATATGTGTTATTGTCATCAGCCCAAATCAGTCTTTTGCAAGATGAAGGTCTTTTCAATGCAAACAGTAGACTGTAATCTACCTTGCTGGTCCAACCCGGTTGGTAAGTAGAATTTTTTTGATTTCCCAGTCTAGTTATCCAATCTGTTTATATGACTAAGGGGAAACTATGGGTCTTCCCACTCCATCACCTTCATCACAATACCACACTGCCCTCTCTCTCTCTCTCTCTCTCTCTCTCTCTCTCTCTCTCTCTCTCTCTCTCTCTCTCTCTCTCTNTCTGCCCCACTGCTGTCTTCTTTGGCACCCACCAGGCTCCCACCGTACAATGGAAAGCAAAGCAAAGTGTTATTTTCTAGCATTGCTTTTACTTAAAACCTCTGGATGACAGAAGCATACAAGAGGAAAACAATGAAAAGCTGCAGCTTGGTGCATTGTGTGGAAGTGATTTGACAATTTTTATACTCCCCCTAACTCAAGAGGTTAAAACCCAAGTTAAAATTATAAGTGCAACAATAAAAATGAAACAATAACAGTAAATCCATAAAAAATAAATCAAACCTCTTTTGAGATGGATGCCAATAAAACCTGGAATTGAAATCCAATATAATACAACTATATTTAAAATCGTCTAAAATCATGTGAGGGGAGCTTTGCAAACCTTGGACGAAGAGTGCATTCCCAATGTCAAATGCATATACCTGAACAGAAAAAAGGATGATAGGAAAGCATCTAGAAAGCTTAGAGGAATTGGATAGGAAGAACTTCATCAGCTTATTTTGTGGTAGATGTTTACTGTTTTATCTATATCCATATAAAATTTAAATCTATATTGTGAGAGCCTATAGCTCTGTCTCTCTATTTCTGTATTTCTATCTCTATCATCTCTATCTCTGTTATCTCTACCTCTACTTCTGTCTTTATCTACACACACAAACACACACAAACACACACACACACACACACACTTTTTACATAGGATAGGGCTTGGTTGTTTGAGGGATCATCTGCTTCCCACAGTATCTGCCTGTCCAGTTTGATCTGGTGGGGTTGGCATGCTCCAGGTCCCATCAATCAAACAATATCTATAGGAAGCCCAGCACTATGCTTTTTCTATAGCAGTGCCTACCCTCTGGAATGAGATTCTCCCCTGAAATTTAAATGGATCCCAGCCTATTGATATTTTGAAGGCCTTTAAAGGCCTGGCTCTTCACCCAGGCCTTTGACACTCCTTTCTTTTTGCTCCCCTCTGGACTTGTTTTCTTTTCCATCATTATTCATTTGTCTTGTGCCGCTGTTATGATTTGAGTATCACTTTTGGTTTTTATTTATTTATTTAAAAGGTTTACATGGCTGCCCATCTTAAGCAACTCTGGGCAGCTCGCAGTAACAATAAAACCAATAGATGAAACAATAGTAAAACAATAAAAACAATGAAACAGTAAAACAAAACCCATCACCATAATCATCCCCCTTGGCATGCTCCATGGCAAGCTCAGCTGCTCTCCTTCCATATTTTCTACCTATACAATTCCAGCACCTCAGTAAATGTTTAAATCTTTTTAATATCTGAATATTTTCAGGATATTTAATATCCTGAATCTCCTTGAATTGAGCAGTATATAAATTTAATGAATTATTTATTCAATCTTTTGGCTTGGAAAGGCAGGGGATGGAGGTTAAGGATTTGAACCTTAGGATTAACGAACAGGTCAGGTTTCTTGTTTGCTGCTAGATGCAAAATGATTTACTATTAATGGCTGTCTAATTGTTGCAGTCAAATTTGCTGGTATATTGTTGGGAATGTGGAACTGAGAGATCAGGTTTTCCAGTCATCCATAGTACAGAAGCTTGACAGAACTCATTGTGGCCATTTTGTGAGCATAAAAGTTGCCCTGCGTGGTAGTCTTTTTATGAATAGGCATGATATACCTTCAATATTCAATATTGTACCTATTAGCCCCAAAGTGCGGTCTACTCTTGTGTAATTAGAGAAATAAGCAAAGGAAACGGGATTAAATCTGCAAGCATTTTGTTATGAAACAAAATGAACATCTGCATGCTGCTTACAATTTTAGCATTATATAACCTGTTAAGTCTAACTGATAAATTAAACCTTTATATTGTATTTAATATGGGCACAGAAACTTAAATGGTTTTATTTTCACTGGCCTCTTTACAGGATGCACTGAAGATACAAAATACTAGCAAATTAATGGTTAATTCAATTTTATCATTACAATTTAAATAAACTTGATGTTCTGGCGTGATTGATTCAGTGTGATTCCTGCTCACTGCAAATTCAACTTGCTTTTGACATTTAAACATATAAAGCTGACTAGATATAACTGTTCAGGTGCTAAATATATTTTACATCTACTTTGAACAGTAGAAATGGAAGTATTAAGAGATCTGGCTTCATTGTCATTGAACTGTGAAATATTCAACCTTGTCTGCCTGTGCTTAGTACTGTTGACTTTTTATTTCTGTGAGAAGATTAAAATTAAATGCTTCATTTTTTGTCAGCTTTTGAGAATTAGATTGAAATTTAAGACTTTAAATTTTTTTTAACCGAGATCCTCAATTTAAACAAAGTCTTCTTTGAGGCTATTGTGTGTTCAAGGGCACAGAAGGGATCATTGATCAAGTATGATGTACTGTAACATTTTTCTTACCCGAACTCTTTTATGTATATTTATTAAAGATCCCATATTTCATATTATGCTTAACTATATTGGAAGAAGTTCTTCACAAAACATATCCCAAACATAATATGAAGTATCTGTGAGCATATTGCACTTACACTTAACTTCAATTCTGGGATTTATGGATATAGAGATTTGCTGCTCTTTTAAAAGTTGGAAAGGGTCAAAGAATACTTTAAAATAATGTGTTACCACTTAGTAGTGCAGTACTGATATCTGCCAGGTTTAATGACTGCATTTTTGTGATAACATAATTGTCTCAGTTTGGTTGGAAAGCCCTCTTAAATTACAATATGCAATTTTATTTAATTTTTTTTTTCTTGGACTGATTGCTTTACAAAAGAACAAGACAGTTTTTGCCTGTTTGTGTGAGTGTCGTGATGGATATCTATAATTCTTTAGTCTGTTCTAGCCAGTTAAATTTGTTCCTGAAATAAATAATAGCCCAAATGTCAATACCTCCAGTTTTCAGAATAATCATAAATTTAAACTATAAAACAGTCATCAAGATATAATATTTTATTCACCATATATTCATATACTTCATGTCATTGCAATAGAAATGTATCATTCTTCCTGTGTCTCTTCCTTCTGCAAGAATAGCAATATTAAGATGTTATTTTGTGCCAGAAAGAAGGACACAACAAAATAGACAGTTACTTAAATGTGTTAAGAATTAAAAAAACACCCAACCCTGTTATTAGTTACAACTATTCCATTTAATCCAGCTGCCCACAACCTTTTGGACACCAGGGACCGGTTCTGTGGAGAGAGATTTTTCCGCGGATCAGAGGGAGGATGGTTTTGTGTCCTGCCTGCATCCCGTGGATGGGACTTCACTTGTTTGTGTGGCCTGGTTTCTGGCATGCTGCGGCCCGATGCCGGTCCACAGACCAGGGGTTGGGGACCCCGATATAGACTTTGATATTCTATAGGCATGGCCAAAGTTTTCATGATAACTTTCAATAGTGCCACTTTAAAAAAAAAAACTCATGGAGCATGGCCAAGTCTAAAAATGGCATTTGCATCTTAGGAAAACTTGAGACACATTGGACTTCAACACCTACTATATTCCTCCACCTACTATATTTTAGCAACAACTGTGGTCTTCAGGAGAAAAAGCATATTTGATTTCTAATTAGAATTGAAATAATCAGATGAACATATGGATGTTCTCTAAGTGCTGATTCACATAATTTAAAACACTTTAAAGGCCATTTTTATAATTTACTTTGACTGTCAAAACCTCTCTGTATATTAGAACTTCAGATAGTTCTACTTATTAGTCCAAATCAGCCCTCCCCAAGCGAATGTCCTTCAGTTGTATTTGGAGTGCAATGATGTAGTCACATTGGCTCAGATTTGTGGGAATTGCTATAGCAGACTAGTTAAGCTACTTTAGCATTTTTGATGTATTTTTAAGTCTTCCACCTTAATAATAATGAGATTTGTACAGTTCTGTAGAAACTGTAATTAGAACCTACTGAAATGAACTGTGTCAAGCTTCAGCTGGTGATATCTGAAATCCAGGCCATTCCATAATGGACAATTTCTACGGAACAACTTTTGTTTCATTTTAATGTTTCAGAATCTCATCTTCTAATTATTGATACCGTGTCTGTTAATGAAACCCCTTTCTTGCTTAACTTTTGTATTTGAACTCTTGCAAGTATATTTAATGAGAAATATCCTAATAGTATCCCTGGAGTTATAAATGTATGCAATAGGCATTTTTCTTTGAGGGGCTAAGAAAGATTCTTAGATTAAATATGGGGTGGTGGTTTCTACACTTACCTTTAAAGGTTTTTTTTAATGGCTTTGTCTCCCACAGATGGTGATTTCTTTATCCAAGGGTAATATAATATTCTAATTCAGCTTCTAATTTTCTTTATGCTAAATTTTACTCAGGATCAAAGCCATTCAAGTGCAAGATTTGCCATTTTGCAACAGCTCAACTAGGAGATGCCAGAAACCATGTCAAGAGGCACCTTGGGATGAGGGAATACAAGTGTCATATCTGTGGGTGAGTAAATTGAAATAGTTCCTCCTTTGGTTAGCAGGAAAGGAGTGCAGGCTATGCATTGTTTCAACGTTCAAAGAGGGAATGTGAGCAAGAGAGGCTAAAATTATGCATGCATATCCTCCTTCCCATTGTTATGGTAAATTCCTTAAATACAGTTATGACATTCTTTTCCTACTTCTAATCCAGTACCGCAGATGAGCAATTTTATGGGCTACAAGGTCAATTTGAACCTGTAATCTGTAAATTGACTAAATTATAGGATGTTCATTCACATTGCCAGGGAGAACTGTAAATTTCCTTTTAAAGGTGTGTGTGTGTGTGTGTGTGTGTGTGAGAGAGAGAGAGAGAGAGAGAGAGAGAGAGAGATACACATGTAAATTATGTGCGTATGTGTTTAAAAAAATATAGTCTTCAGTGTAGTCTGTGTTTTCCTGTGCCATCCATATTTGTCTTATGTATTGTTTTGATTCTAGAACTATGTGTTTCTATGTGTTACAGGAGATAGAAGAAAAGTTTCTAAAGATTTTTTTTATCTATTCCCACACATCGATGTGGGCACATAATCAGAGGCATCTTGTTTTAAAAATGCCTCCATTTTTCTTTCTTTCCTAATGGTTATTTCATCACATGGACCATTCATAATGTTTAATTGAACTTCAACTATATTGCATTTAAAATGGCGGATCCTGAAACTCTTTAATCCAAAGCTAATTAATTTAGCAGAAATGTTTAAAAGGTTTTCAAATGCCATGGCATATATAGTGTGGTGTAGGACATTCAGAGGTGGGTTTTAGTATTGTGCTCTTATTAAAAGTGTATTTTAATGTTGTTATGCTAAAAAATTAGCTAATATATATGCCGCATGAAATGCTTTTTTCAAAACATTTTAAGTTGCTGGAGAGGCCTGATGGTTAGTGTAAAGTTTGGGGTTGGTTCAGTGAATGCCCACCAAAATGATAAAGTGAGTGGTTAAGGATATTTTTCAGCTGGAGTTTGGTCGTGTCAGCTCTTGCAATTAAACCTCTTAGCAGAACAAAGTGAGTGCAATATTCAAAAGAAAATTGGAATGCTTTTCACTAGAGGCAAATGTTTCTCACAAAAATAGCACATTAAACTGACAAGAGTGGTGTGATTATCTGACGGGAAGAAGCACTGGACAGTTGCTGACCAAATTACTTGCAAACACAGAGGAAATTGATACGAAAGTTGTCACTGTAAAGTAACAGAGGACTATCCTCTGGTCCTTGGGCAACAAATAATATTCATAACTACTGTGGGTGGGTAGCTATCTATTTTGTGATATGATTAGTAGTTCTGTGCGTACAGGGTCTGTGAGTAAGCCACCATTTGTCTGATATTTAATAGGCAAGTGAAAAATGGAACTTGGATTTGCTTGTGTATGGATAGTGGGAATGGTGGATCAGAACTGGCAAACCATTTTAAATTATGGTTGTAACTCTTTGTAATTAGCTTACTCTCATGTATGAAGGACTACATTGTGAATATCTTAAAAGAAACTGCTTTTTATTGTTTGAGAAGTCATCTTTTTTGACACTTAAATACATGTCAAAGTAGCCTTACATATTTAATGAGAAAGATACTCCAAAATCTACTTCAGATATGTCTTCTGTTGCAATTGAAATAATAATACAGTTTAGTCTGAGATACACCATATATGTTAGTCCATTAACAATGGGTGGATTAGCAAAACTGTAATAAAATATAATGGGGTTTTGAAAACGAGAGGATAGGGTGTTTGCACTTTCAACTAAATAACTCTGCCACTATTAGTGTATATGGCAAGGAGGAAATATGTGCTATATTTTTGCTATAAGAATAGGCTAGTGGGTAGATTTAAAAATGGCAGTATAAAAAAGCTAGCAATGAGTAGCATATTAGCAGCAGTTTAGAGCTGGTACAGTAAAACCACTGACAATGTCAATTCATTATCATTGATAGCTAAATAATCTTAGAAATGCTCAGTGGACCTATTAGTTCCCGAACATAAGCAGCTCATGCTTCATTCCTTCATTAGCTTTAATTGCTATAAATTTACCTTTTTAAAAAAATCATGTTTTAAGAGGTGAAGTGATCTTTCAGGAACATTAACTTGGTAATTTTGTCACAAACAGAAGGTCCTATACTGTGTTTTCTTTTCTTCAGTAGTTAAGATTCTGTCCTGTCATTTAGATTCATTGGACAAGCTTTCCATTAGATAGAAGGTTAAATAATTTTTCCAGTGGTTACATAATCTGTTTGGACATGTGAATTGTCTGTGCAAGATTATGAATCATTACAAATGGAAGATATCATTTGATTGCCTTGAAATATAATGCTGAGCTGAATTGGAAGGTGAAGAATTTTGGGGAAGTGATGGTAAAAAATCAAGAGATTGTATACACTGTGTAGTTAACATCAAAGATGGAGGAAACACAGCACTGCTTTTGCATGTTGCTTTTATTGTTTCAAATCTAAATTTAATTTTTTCCAGCTGCACTGTAGAAATACTTTGCTATAGAGATTGGAAGCTACTAATCTTTCAGCATTTGAAATAAACCGTCTGCTACTCATTTCCTTGTCAGCAGATGCGTGGCGATTGTTTTCCTTTGCATTATGTTCATAAATGAAAAATGCATCCCTGGTTTGAGAAGGGATCTGTTTTCAGCGAGTATCCAACTGCTACCTATTTAAATTTAATTTTCAGAAGTCTGGGCATGAAGTTGTTGATTACACTAAGATTAGCAAACTTAAATTGGTTTTCAAATAGTTATGTTTGCAAAACTTGTGCATTGGAAGGGGGGGAAAAGGCTTAGCCTGCAGTTTTGAGATTTTAAAAGCAATGAATTGCTCATGATTTCAGATTTTAAACAAGTTTACGGGCAGCATACCTTAAAAATGCATCTACTTTTTCATACTTTTGCTTGAAATATAAGGCTACTAAAGAAACCCGACAGATTTTTTTTCTCCTTCACTTCTAAGAGTTTTATTAAAGTGAGATAAATAAATCAGTAGGTGAAAAGGTTAGAAAAAAATTAACATTTAAAAATGTTAATAATTTGAAATCAACCTAGATGCTTACCTTATACATTCTTGTAATGTGTGAATATACATATTTACATTAAGAATGGTTATATATTTTGAACATTAATTGAAGCACATACATTTCCCATTTTTGTAACATGCCTGTGGTTTCCATTTCTTTTGTGTTTGTGTATATTACCTTTTCTGCATTACCTCACATATCTTCTAGAGAAGTGTTTTTAAACATTAAACTTCCTTTGAAGTTTGATCGTAGCACTTTTGCCAGTGTATTTATGAATGTGCCTTTTATAGTATTTATTTTTAAATGATTCCTAGGAATTACTGAATTTTAACAATGTTACACAGAAAATTAAAAGAACTTGCCTGAAAGAGAGGTGAAATCACCGCATCGACAGTGTTATGTATTTTGCTCTCACTCTTTGTTTTGTCATTTTTTTTAGAATTAGTTTCAGGTTCTTTGGCTGTAGATCCGTAGATCAACAAAATAATAAGAAAAAGCATGTTTAGTGTTGTCTTTGAAGAACAAAGAGTATTCATTTTTAAACAATATTAGGAAGAGTGGGAGATGTGCTTTTGGATTTTAAATATGTCTTAATGGTATTGTAAGTGAACTGTTTGTTCTAAGGCTATGAAAAATCTTTAAATAGAAAGTTAAAACTTCAGTTAAAACTATTTTTGTGTGGTATTACCTATTTTTTTGTGCTTTAGAAGGGATCTCTGTGTAGATGATTATAATGTCACTTTCTGACCTTTGCAGCTTGAATAATTGTAAATCATTGCTTCATAAAGTGTCAGAGAATGTCTGTACTAGGCAATTAAATGGCAGAATATAATAGACCAAATTATTGCCTGTCATGTTTTCAACAACACAGTTAGTATTTGAGTTACACTTAATCATTACGTGCATTAGCAACCTCATTGGAATCCCGCTTCAGGCTGAGCATGAAATACATTACATTATTTAAACCTCTAATGGTAGAAGTCATTTATTTGTGTTGAAGTGTACAACATGCAGCGTTTCATAAAGCAAGGAACACTTGAGAGCTTAATTTATCCAAATCAAAGTCTAAAGGCAGATAAACACAAGTGGCAAAAATTAGTAATTTTTATAGGCTGGAAATATTTAAAAATACATGGTTGTGAGTAATTGCAGGCAGCAGGAATAAATTAAAATCACTATTTTTGGTTGGCTCAGAGAACTAAAGCTGTTTTATATTTAAATAGTCAAATGTAGCATGGAATCACATTTTTGACTGAAAAATTAATTACATACATCATATCCACAGCTGTATCCAAATAAAACAATGCTGAAGCAACAAAGTAAAACAGACTTTCTGTGGCTTCAATAATCTGAAATATTCACAGTATAGGGAGGACACCTATGATAATTTGGCTTATAATCAACAAAGAAAAATATCATGCTGATAATAATATATTTCATTATTAAATCATATTTTGACTAACCTTTTTTGAGAAATGTTTGAAGTACATATGCTAAGACAATATGTGTAAATTGCTTTCTCTTTTTGTTTGCTAATGATGGAAAATAAACTGGACTGTGTTTCCGTATAATATTTTTTTCGCTGATGACATTGTTTTTCTAGTTGAATGGATTGTGGATTTTATTAACTCTACTGCAGAACCTCTGGGATATGTATGTATTTAGGGATGGCAAAGGAAACAACAGGGAGTTCTATTTTCTAGCAAAAGTTTGCTTTCTTAAAATAGATATAATCCAGTATTTTTCTACTCTAGAGTACCATTTTAATATACTTTACTTTTCTCTGATCACCTGTTGCTATTACTGCCACATCTAATGTTAGATGCTGTGTAAGGACTTGGAGTTTTTGGAGGGCGGGCTTACATGAATTGGTTTTTGTTTAAGACATGAGCAGAACTGCAGAAGTGCCATAAAGATCTTCTTATTGAATAGCTATCAGTATGCTTCACTAGTGTCC